AAAAAAATTCGACCGACCGACCCAATTTTCAGATTTCATGTAATGTTAAACGAAAAATTTACTTTGCGTGGCCTAATAGGTGTAATGGCTGTAATGGCTAGATGGTTCATTTAAACTCATTATCACCCTTTTCTTCAATTCTTTTAATATTATCAAGTTTATCAAATAAAATCCATTGAATTACCATCTGCAAGCCTCTAAGCTGAAAAGCTTTCATGTAATTCTTCTATTTGTCCATCCTTTGTTGTTATTACAGATACTATGCTTCATTTGTGTTATATTCGTTATAATGTGTTTCTCTATTCACTAACTAAATCGATGCATGTATAATTTCACAGGTTAAATATTTTTATACTCACGGACTAAATTAACACGGATAAATGATAAATAATTATGAACTTACAGCTATTTTCATAATTCCTGGAACACCTGATTAAAATTGACCGAATGGTTTTTCGATCAATCCGGTTAAGTTATTGATCGGTAAAAGGTTTCATGCACTTTGTAAGAAACGTAATCATACGATCATATGATCCCATATGACTGGTTAGATATGTGAATAGATTTTATCAGTAAACTTTATGCAAAGCTTTTCATAGTGCTGGTACTATATGTAACGTGTGAAATTTCATGCTACTGAAATTTACGCAAAAATTACATGAACTGTAAAATTGTAAACTGTAATTTTCAACCCTAGTGCCAGTGCACTAGTTAACAGTTAACTGTTAATATAAAAGTTACGTACGTACTGTACAATTTTGTAATTGGATTGTAATCGAATCGGCTAAAGCATCATTCGGTCAATTTTTATCAGGTGTTCCAGGAATTATGAAAATAGTTGTAATGCCAATTTTAAACATGTAACCCAGTAGCAATACGATGACCCTTATACGGGTACAATCACTACATATATCAATCTCTTATTAAGCATAACAGATCTCAATTGCAGATTACGTTATTATATATATTATTTTAAAAGAATCTTGATTCAAATTTATCTATTTTACAGTAGGATTAGAAAGAAAATCAAATTTATAGTTCATTATATCTAGAGTTACTAAGTTCTAATTATAGAGAAAGTTTGTCTCATGCGTAGCCAATCTCATGTTGGACACCTATTTATAGTATAAATCTTAAGGTATGCACATTCTCACTATTTTAAGAATTAGGAGACTTTATGGTTTGTATCTGAGTAAATTCGATTATTTGTATCCGAACGAACCTGATGATTTATATCAGAATAAATCTGAGGATTTGTATCAGAACAAGCCTGATTATTTGTATTTATAAGTGGATTAGACATTTTTGTTCCGTGTCTTTTTCGATACAATATGATGCCAACAGCTACTAATGCGCTAACAAAAATAATGAAACCTATTGCACCACCCACTATTGCACCTACATTGGACTGAGATGTAGATGATGTGGGTGTGGATGTAGACGTTGGCTTCGAAGATGAGTTAGATGGAATAATAACACCTGCTGTTATGCTGTTATGAAGTTCATTAATGTCCCACCGCTTGTATCTTTAGCTATATCGAAAATTGCAATTCCTAGTGCATTAACTTCCCGCACATAATTAAGTTTGGATGTTAATGATTGAAAATCTTCATAAGAAACATAATAGAATAGTGGTGGTTGTTGTTGTTGTTGGTAAATATATGGCTGTTTGGCTTTATTATCGAAGCCATGCTTCCATAGTGAGTTTTGATTGGTACTTGTATAACAAGGTGATAATAAATTAGAACTCAGGTTTTTCCACGACCAAGAAGCATAT